GCTGGGGGGACATAACCCTGCCTCTACCGAGGAATCTATACTATCTGTAGCACCAGTTGCTTATTTAGAGAGAAGAAATGGTACCAGAACATATCAACCACTACCATATAGAGACAAAACTGAAATCTGTAAAGTTCAGAGAGAATATGGTAGGTCCAGTGAGATTTTTAAAGGTATGATTAGGGCAACCTTCAATTCAAATGAAATGGTACCTAAAGATATAACCAACTTGTTTAAATGTTTACTAACACCTTCTGAATATGAGATATGGGAAAATAAGTGGAAATTGGCTTTGGAAACAATTTTGCAAGAAATTGCAGCTATATTAACATTAAACAGTTTCCTTCTGAGAGTTTTTAGTTTGTGGATCATTTGAGAAGCCAAGTTGAAAAACAGGTGCAAGACAGCAGGGTACAAACAGAGTTGATTAAAGAAACGGCTCAGAGGAATGCCAATGAGACCTGTAGTAGGATTATTCTCAGTCTTTCTCTTGATCCAGCACCTAGCCTTGCTCAGATGATTGAAGCCTGTGCCAGGAGAGCAGAGCTGCATGATAATCCTGTCAGTCATAGAGCATCAGCAGAAATACAGCCTGTTACCCCTGGTGCATCTAGCCCAAGGAAGCAACCTAGGTCATCACAACACCTGCAGCACATCATCTGCCTGCGTTGGAAGAAACCAGGACACTTTGCCAGAAACTGTCCTCAAAACCAGAACCAGAGACAGATCACCAAACAAAAAAACTGAGTGCACAGCGTGTCCCCGCAGCTAAAAGAACTACGCACAAAGACATAAATATAGCGGGACCCAAACGGGACAATGCATCCCTCTTAACAAATAAGGGGGAGGGTGGGAACCATGGGGGGGGGGGAGAGAAAAATAAAAATGTAAAATGTATAACTAACAAGGTTTGGCAGCCATTAGGCCGACCTCGCCAAAGGATTTCATTTCAGATCCACTGATTGGAAAGTTATTGTAGTGGACCTGTCAAAGAGCTCACAAGACCTGCAGGCGTACGATATGAAACTGGACAGTGAGTATTTTGTTACTGGGGACACAGCATACACACCTCCAGAGATTGAAATAGTTCCCATGACTACTAAGGGAAAAATATCCAGCCTTATGCTGTTGGCACGTTGTTTACACCCTCCATTCTATCTAGAAAAGGGGCAAATTCTGGCACAAGCCATTCCCATCCCAATAGAAATACCAATAGAAGGAAAATCACCTAAAGGCTACTGGGCAGAGGTAGTAGGAGAGGATAGACCCTTGATGGCATGCAACCTAGCACATGGATCAGAGCACCTTCAGGTGGAAGGGGTTCTGGACACAGGTGCAGACATCACAGTGATACCAAAAACCATGTGGCCATCACACTAGGAATTGCAACCTGTGGCAGGCAAACTTCAGAGTATAGCAGGAACTACATTGGCAAAAATTTCAAAAAATGTAGTGCAAATTGAGGGACCTGATGGGAAATTGGCAAGTGTTTGCCCATTTGTGGCAGACTATAAGGCTCCTCTGTGGGGGAGAGACACCATGTCCCAATGGGGAGTCCAGTTAATAATTCCTAAGACACCCCAGGATTTTCGGAAGTAGCCACTGTGGAGCGCCCTGCCCACAAGTTAAAGTGGTTGGATAACACACCAAAGAGGGTAGCACAGTGGCCTTTGAGTAGAGAAAAACTCGAGGCGCTTGAAACACTTGTGGAGGAGCAGGTAGCTCAAGGACACCTAAAAGAAACAGACAGCCCTTGGAATTTCCCAGTCTTTGTAATAAAGAAGCCTGGGAAGGACAAGTGGAGATTGCTCCACGATCTCAGAAAGATAAACAAAATTGTAGGGGAAATGGGACCTCTCCAACAAGGTATGCCCAGTCCAGCTATGCTTCCCCAGGACTGGAAATTAGCTGTGTTAGATATAAAGGACTGTTTCTTCCAAATTCCATTGCACCCTGAAGATGCCCCGAGGTTTGCATTCTCAGTTTCTACCATCAATCCGGAAGCCCCGATGAAACGTTATCACTGGAATGTTCTGTTCCAAGGTTTAAAATCCAGTCCTTTCATATGCCAACAATATGTAGCAGTACTACTGTCTCCAGTACGCGCAGAGAGAAAGGATGCCATCATCCTTCACTACATGGATGATGTGCTTGTGTGTGCTCCCAATGACTCTATACTCCAATACACGCTTGACCTAGTGGTTAAAGTTTTAACCTCTGTTGGATTTCAATTGCAGGAAAACAAAGTTCAAAGAATGCCACTTGGGGATACCTGGGCCTAGAAATTTCTGCAAGGACTATTTTCCAACAGAAATTAGAAATCAATTGCAATCCCAGAACATTAGCAGACCTCCACTCGCTGTGTGGGACTTTAAATTGGGTGAGGCCCTGGCTAGGCCTCACAAATGAGGACCTAGAACCTCTCTTCAATTTATTGAAGGGGGAGAGGGAGCTGGCCTCCCCCAGGGAACTGACTCCGGAGGCAAAGACAGCAATTGAAAAGGTACAGAAGGCCTTGTCAGAGAAGCAGGCAAATCGGTGTGAACCAAATGTGCCTTTCCAGTTCATTGTTCTAGGAAAGCTGCCACACCTGCACGGGTTGATTTTCCAATGGACCGAGGGGCAGAAGACCCACTCTTAATCTTAGAATGGGTTTTCCTATTGCTCCAAAGATCCAAAACCATCACTAGGCCACAAGAGCTGATAGCAAAGCTGATTCAGAAGGCCAGGGTGAGGTTGTGTGAATTAGCAGGGTGTGACTTTGCATGTATCCACCTTCCAGTCAGGCTTTCTGAGGAGGGAAGGAACTCTCCTGAGAGATTGACCAAAGGGACGTTTGAGCATTTGCTCCAGAGCAGTGCCAGTCTCCAGCTATCTCTGGACAGCTACAGGGGACAAATATCAGTCCATGCCCCGTCTCACAAGTTGTTCAATGAGGAATTCCACCTGATTCCTCAAGAGAAAAGGAGCCGGAGGGCACTCAAGGCTCTGACAGTGTTCACTGATGCCTCTGGGGCTTCCCACAAGTCGGTGATGACTTGGAGGAATCCACAGACTCAGCTTTGGGAAGCTGATGTTGAGCTTGTGGAGGGATCCCCCCAGGTGGCTGAACTGGCTGCAGTGGTGAGAGCTTTTGAGAAGTTTTCTGAGCCATTCAACTTGGTGACAGACTCTGCCTATGTGGCAGGTGTAGTGTTTAGAGCCGAGCAGGCTGTGCTCAAAGAAATAGAAAATGAACATCTCTTCAGGTTACTCTCAAGGCTAATTTATTTAATCTCTCACCGAGAGCATCCATTCTTTGTGATGCATATGAGGTCACACACTGATTTACCAGGTGAGATTGCAGAGGGGAACCAAAAAGCAGACTCCCTTGCTGCACCAGTCGAAAAAGCACGTCCCCCTGATGTTTTCCAACAGGCAAAGCTGAGCCACCAGCACTACCATCAGAATGTGCCAGGTTTGATCCGACAGTTCCAGCTAACACGGAGTCAGGCCCGAGCCATTGTGACCAACTGTCCTAATTGCCAGCTCCAGGCCGTGCCATCGTTGGGCATGGGGGTAAACCCCAGAGGCCTTAGCAGCTGTGAGGTATGGCAGACAGACATCACACACATTCAGAGTTTTGGTCGCCTTGAATGCGTTCATGTAAGCATGGACACATTCTCAGGTGCAGTGTATGCCTCTGCCCATATAGGACAAAAGGCTGCACATGTCAAACAACACCTAGTGCAAGCATTTTCAGTATTGGGGGTGCCAAAAACGATCAAAACAGATAATGGCCCAGCATATGTATCCAAGGAGTTTCTGGAATTTCTCCAACAGTGGGGAGTGGAACATAAGACTGGCATTGCCCACTCCCCCACAGGTCAAGCTGTAGTTGAGCGTGGACACCAGACGCTGAAGCAGGTATTGAAAAAACAAAACAGCTCAGCTCCGTGGATGTCTCCACAAGAAAAGCTCTGTAAAGCTATGTTTACTATCAATTTTCTGAATTGTTCATTTGAAAATATGAGTCCACCAGTTGTGCATCACTTTAACAGTGGCAAGTTCAAATTGTCTCAGCATCCCCCAGTCTTGATTAGGGATCAGAGACTTGGGAAACCAAGGGTCCCTATGAACTTGTAACCTGGGGTTGTGGCTATGTGTGTGTAGCTACTCCCTCAGGCCCTCGGTGGATTCCCCAGAAGTGGGTGAAACCTTTTGTCCCCAAAAATCCAGGTCAGACAAAAGGGGACAGGAAGCAAGTAACTGATGCTTCAAAGAGAAGACGCCGCTGGATGGAAGAAGAAGAAAGTTCCTAAGCATGAATACCTCCTGGCAGAAACAGAAACTTTAATATGTTCTTAAAATGTTTGTTTTTCCCTTTTAGAGAAAACCTACCTCCCACTCAACCCTGTGATGGACCCCATGCAATTGTCACCCTGCGAATGCTGAAAAGAATGTTCAAGGGCTGGGGATTCACGGGGTGGTGGACATCAGTTATTAAATCAATTTTGTTACTCCTTGTTATTCTGTTCCTTGTAACCTTGGCGTTTGGGACCCTGCTCAGGGTTAGATTGAGCCCAGTGAATTCCTGTAACCTTGTTTAACAAATGAGGGGGAGGTGTTACAGTGAGTTCATGGGCACCCTGTGCCTCCCTTCCCCCTGGGACCTTGTGACTCTGATCAAGATAACCCCTGGACCCCTCCTTCCTGCCCCAACGGGGTTGGCGGAGAGCCAGGAAAGCCCACCCTGTCCAAAACCTAAATAGACCCACTGACATTTCCTGCTCTTTCTCTTTCATGGACACCACAGAATAAAGAGAGCTGTACCAACATACCCTGAGGTAAGAGCCTCTTTTGAACACCTTTACCCTTCTCCTGATATTCCTCCCCTCACAGCCCCTTATCTCTGAGCGAGTCGGATTCTTCGGGGGCTGCAGGGGGAGGGGGAACTACAGCAGGCCACTACATATAAGATGCCATATGCCAAATTATGTCAAATGTAATAAAGTCCATTATTTCACATTTTTGCTAGAGAAAAGAGCATTTTGGGTATAGTAGAAGGCAGCAGAAGCCCCTTCTCAAGCAGGAAAAAGTATGAAGCCCTAACTTTAGACTTCACTGCCAATGAGTTATCTTTCCAATTATCTTCAGCAGAATGGTGATAGATACAGATATGTCCCCAGTACCAGACTTGAGTGAACCCATCTTAGCCTCTTGGCATGCATTGAGTAGCTATCAGCAAACTTTTAAAAGTATTAATAATGCCTTCTGCCAACAGTCATTAAAATCAATACTAGGGCCTTCCTCATGAGTACCCTGATCCCCAGTAACTGCCAAGTAGGCAGCTTCTCATTGTGTGTCCCACTGAAGGTATCCAATGCAAAAACATGGAATTGTGGACCTGAATCCTTTAAAAAAGCTCAGCTGAGCTTTTTTATGGACTAGGGGATGAATGAAGTCCATATGCATAATCTAAAAAATCCCTTCCATTCTTTTTTACAATCAGGTTGAATTTTACAGCCTTATTTAGATTTATGAATAGTAATTTCTATATTTATAACTATGGTAAAAACCAAGCAGCTTTTTGTTATTGTAAACCTAACCTCTAATTTAAGTCAGGAAAATAAAACTTAAAACTTTATAAAAAAGGAACATTGTTCTTACACAGACAGAAAAGAGAAAAAAATAATATTTCTAAAATTAATTGGGCTTTCCTGGTCAAGGAGAAGTAGTGTCATGAAAAGAGAGTGTGGTTCATAGTCAAGTTTGCCACCTGACCTTCTCTGAGGCTTCTAAGCCCTCAGGTCCTTTCTACTTAGCTCACTCTAAGGGTCATAACCACAGCACAGGAGTAATTATGTTCACCTCCTCCCCCCCATATCTTTATGTGAAAGATAATTTATCACTAGTAACTATGTCAAATTCAAGGCAAACAGTCTATTTGTGGTTACTTGCAAGACTTGGGAAAAGGGAAAAGTGGATACTCTTGGTTTGCAAGTGCTAGACTGAACAGAAGCCTTGGTTGAAAGACAACTAACAGCTTAATACATGTAATTAATTTAGTAGAGCACATACCCCATGTCCAAGACAGAAAAAATTCTCTTCCTTTCCCACTAGCTAGTACAGTGAGACCATCACTGTAAACACTTCCTATATTTAATTGACAAAAGCTACACATGCTATGCTGTCTAAAAAATAGGATCCTGTTATGCTCAAAACAGCACTAATAGCTTATCCTATAAATCATAAAATTACTGCACTGAAGCCTACTCAGAATCCTGAGTCCTGCTGGGTTTTCTCAGTCATGTCTGGTTCAGACAGCAATTATTTGCAGTAGCATAGGGATAGAAAAGTTCCCTGAAAAGGCATCACAGCAGTTTTCTCAGTAAAACTCAGCTACTAAAACATAATATATACCATGCAATCTGAAACTACAATGTTAAATCTCTGAATTTTAGGGAAGGAATTTATAAATTTTTCTAAACCCCCAAAATTCAAAACTTAACTTGAAAGGTTTCCAAGACCTCTGTCCTTTCAGGGTATTTCTCTCTATGAAAACCATACATCATATATTCTCTTTCTATGAAAACCATACATCATATATTCTATACACTGCTGTTGCATTGCAATGAAGCTACTGCACACTAGTGGCCTGAAGGGACATCGCCACATTTCAGCCTTTCTACTTTTCTCAGAAGAGATGGGGCTTACATCCAATATAGTTATACCACTTCCTAGATCAATAGCTACACTCTTCTGTCAGTATCGAAGTGTGATGATCAGGATTCTACCAGGACAAACCAGAAGAGGCTGGAATTCAGAACTGAAAGTTAAATGTTCAGGCAGGGCATAAGACTAAGCAAAAAAGCAAATATTTAGGAAACAAAAGCAAATAGAAAAAAAAATGCCAGTCAAAGCAGTGGATACATGCAAAAGAGGTGGAAAGAAAAGGGGAAAGCAAGGAAAAAATTAAAATGCTGGAATATTTGAACTACTGGTGACAGTTTTAGTGGGGGACAGCAAACAGGCACTATTCCCTCTCTCTTAGAATTAAAATTCTACTTACCCCAGTGTGTGCACTGAAAAAAAAAATGGTTAGGAAAATGTAAAGAAGCTTCCCATGCATGTGACACTCCCAGGAACTTTTAAAAAACAAAATCAAAATTTGCAACTGCAGATCATCAGTCTAGACCTTTCTAATAGTCAGAAGTCACTCAAGCTTTTTGTTTAAAATGGTACTGGTTTTCTTAACAGCAACAGAGAAGCATTTACAACATGAAGTAACTGCAGAGCCTCTTAACTACACTATGCAGTAGTGTAGTTTCCCAATTCAGTTCATGTCAGAACCCTGCAATATCCCCAGCTGCAAACTGTAATAGTGATGAATGAGTGATGCAGCTGATACAGAAAATCAGAGTGCAGTTTGCCCTACTTCATCATTCCTCAGATATTTAGCACAACTTTCATCTCCTTCCCTTACAATTCATAGAAAGGCAGATGGATATGTTTTTCCATACTTTGATGGAAGAAAAGGACTATTAGCTGTTTGCCTTTATTTAATAGTTGTCTCAAGAGCTTTTCAACAAAGAGAAAAAAAATTACAAAAAGCAAAAGGAAACAATCTCCCCAAAAGGCAAACCACTGCAATATTTCCAAGTCAGAAGGCACAATAGGATCATGGCCACTTAAATTATGGTATGGATTTCACTCTCACCTATGGATTCTTTGACATACAGGTCAGTCTTCTAGTAATGAGGTGATTTGTATTAGTATTTAAAAATCAAAAATTTGGACACTAATTTTTCAACACTAGTAGATTTTCTTGTGGTTTCTAACAAATTTCTATGTTAGAAAGATCACTTCATTGCTTCTTTTGGCATTACTAAACATGGTTTTGGAATGAGGAATGCAAAATGGACTTTTTTTTTAATCGAAAACATACTGCAATAACTACATTAGTATTTGTTATTTTAAAGCAGTCTGCTTAGTGGCAAAGCAATACCCATCAGCTGTCCACCTGCCTTGGAATTCAGTGGAGCTCTGGTGTGAGTGCTCTCCCATGCTGCAGAAAGCAACATGCAGCAGGAGTAGAAAAGCCCGAGGCTTCACATCTTTAGTAAAGCAAGATGCCAGGAGACTGAGACCTATTCTTCTCCTTAAAGGATGAGTGTACATATAAATCCCAGTGTTTCCATAAAACATTTATAGTTTGAGAACAACAGAGCAAACATAGGGCAGTTGCAGGGATTTGATTGTGTTTGCCTTCTGCAGAAATGTGAAATTGCAATAATTTTTCTTTTACAAGAGCTTTTGTAACATGCACATTTGCCCTGCTGAATTAGCAATGGCACTGCCTGGAAAACATATGTAATGAAATTGATGTAGGAAAAGAAGAAAGACAGTCTATTGTCTATTGTTTCTAAAAAAAATAAATATTTATGTATCCAAAAAATAGGAGCCAATTGATGCAGCCAATTGATTAAACCATAGGGACAGGATAAAAGGGAGCATCCCCCCACCTTGTGCTGCCAGAGCAGGCCAGGGGGCACGGAGTAAACATCAGAGAAAAAGTCCTTGAGGAGCTAGTGGAATTACTTGATGGAGGCTAACAGGGGAAGACTGCAGGGGGCTGTTGGAGGTTCTCCACTGCAAAGCCAGCTCCTGGAGGAGCCATTTCAAGGCCCATCTGGTGGACGGAAATCTGCTTCAGGCAAGCCCCTCCAGAGATGAGAACCACCAACCCCTGGATGTGCCAGGGACTGTGGCACCTTTTCAGTGGGGTAGCAATGGCAAGACCAAGGGAATGCCTTCTTGAATGTCCTTTCTTGAATGCTCCTGTCTGAGGAGAACTGCAGAGCTTGTTGTTCTCATACCCCGTGGAGCCACAGGCAGCAGCCATAAGAAATGGGATCCAGAATTGTTTTCCAGGGGTCTCAGCACTTTGTAGCACCCACTATGCTTGGAAAGGATTCTTGCCCCCAAGTTTGATCAGGACTATGGCAGTTGGTCCATCTTGGAAGGCCCTGAGATGGCTTCAATTTGAGAGAGAATAGGGCTTGGGCATTTCCTGGGAGGCATGATCAGAAGGCTGTGGGATGAGGAGGCAGGTCTTGGTCACATGCTAAGGGAAAAGCTGATCACCAGTCCTGGGGTCAGGAAGGAATCTTCCCCTGAGGCAGATGGGCACTGGACTCCAGAGGTTTTCTGCTTTCCTCTGTAGCAGGGAACATGACCACTTGTCAGGGCTCCTCTGATCCATTTTGGCTACTTTTCTGCCTGAAATATAGCCAAAGACACACAAAGACACCACAAAGACACCTCTTGTGCCCTGCAGCTATGGGAAGGAAGGCTTTTTTACCCTCATGGTGGACCAGAAGATGTCTCTGAGTGGTTGTGCCTTCCTCTGCTGCCTGCAGCATGGCCCCTTGCCAGGGCTTCTTTCAACCATTCTATAAGCAGATCCAGGTTCCCGTATAGATATGTAATAGGTTCACATTATCTAGGAATTAATCATAAAACAATTTATCAGCATACCTGTTCATCTGTTTTCTCCCTAATATACAGCCCACTTAATTTCCTTAAGCTTAAAAGAACAAAACATTCAGCATTTAAGTGTAAACAAAGCTAAGTGTCCCTACTGAAATGCAATACAAGTTAGCTTTCACTACTGAAAAAATTATATAAAGTGATTTGTACAAAAAGAAGAAAGCTACTCAAATCTCTAAAGTAAAACCAAACATTTCAGCCGACTGCAGTGAAAATTCAAACTAACTTTCCAAGAACGCTGTTTTATCTTACAGCACAGGTGCAACAAAACCTAGACTATCTGTGTTAAGAAAAAATGAACAACAGGATTGAAAGTTGTGCTGCTTGATTTTCAATCAAATTGAATAAAAAAAACCCAAAACCTCTGTGTGTGAGGATGAATGTTGTATCACAAAACCTAACAGTCATACATGTGAATTCTAGTACTTGAAGACATTTTGTCCACCACCTCCAAGTCCTTTAAGTGCTGCAAAATTTCCTGAGCTCTTTGATGCCTAGAGGATCATATATGGCAGTCTTTGAATCCTGCATTTCAAAATAATAAATATGACCTTTTACTATCCAAGCAAAGTTTTCATTGCTTGTTTAGTCACTGTCTGGGTTTTGACCACTGCCAGGAACAAGTTTTTAGCTAAAGTGGTGGTCAGCCCAGCCAAAAAATCCTGATGCTGAACAGCAACGTCTGTTCAGAGCCTCAGTTCTCTGGGGAAATTGCTTGCAAAGAAAAAGAAGTCTGGTACACAGACAAGGAGAGCCTTTAGTTTCTGTGAGCTATCTGTAGGGTCCTAGGACATATTTGAAGGGTTTCTGGTTTTGGGAAGTTTTAGCAGAGATGAATGGATTAGCTCTTGATTGTTCTTTCAGAAGAGTATATGTTGCCAAAGAACAGAATTATTTGAACAGAAATTTTCTGAAAAAGAAACACACCAAGAACTAAAATACTGCACTTTGTTTAAAGTAATATTTCTTTCAGTTGTTTAGCTTTGTCTAAGTCTTAAATGACAGTAAGAAAAAATAAAACAAGAATATCTGTATTCTCCAATGCATTCTATTCTACATAATAGATTTTTAACTGCTCTGTTCTCTAAAAATAAAAAATAAATCACACAGAGCAAGGAAAACTTCTAAAACTCAAATAAAACTTATTTTGAAAGCAAATGCATAAAAATGCCAGAAATTTCTGAGATACATATTGGTTAGAGTATTCTCCTTGTACCAGATTCATGCAAATTAGGAATATATCTCAATTTATGTACTTTCAGGAAATCATTACATTGTTTTTATAGAATTTATGTTTCTGGACACCGACAGTTTACCATTTATCTTGTACACATTGGGCCCATGTTCTGGGTTCCACAGGGGAAGGCAACCCTCATTTTTTAGTTCAGTTCTAACATGATGATAGATTATAAACTTTACACAGTACAGGTTACCCAGGGTCCCCAAACCAAAAGTTGGTGCGTGCTGGAATCCGTTCAACCACACTCCACTTCAGGTACGCAGCTGAACTGGGCAAGGCCTTTTAGGCTTCTCCTGTCTGGATCACCAGAAAACTGTTCCTGCAAAATCAGGATTTTGGGAGAACATGTGCAAACCCAGGGTGCAGTAAAACACCAGCTCGTGATTTATTTCATATTTGCACATGGATCAGGTGGTAAATCCACAAAGCTGGCACCTTGAGCAGAGAAGACAATCATTATTTATACGCTGTTAATCTAATTTATTGCAACTATCTAATAAAAATTAAATGTTTATTGTTCTATTATTGGTTACTTATAAAAAAGTTGATTGTGCAAGATATTATTTAATTATTATTAGCTACTGTGCATGATCAGGGTCTTTAGTTTGAGTCAGAGGTCATTTGGTTGTGATCTTTCCCTGTGAGAATTACTCTCTACACAGTTGGAACAGATTTTGACATAGTTGCTGAATTAGTTTAGTTAGTACCTTCTTATCTTGGGTGTTCTTGCCAAGTTCTAAGTTCTGCATTCTCTGTGTTCACTATCAGTAGTACTCTTCTTCCTAAGCTTTGCTAACCTCCCCTTGGGTCTGGGATCTTTGAAGCAAGCCAATCCCTAAACTTTAAACAAGGCAATTCTACTGACAAGTAATTTATCTTGGGATAATCAATACTGTTCTTCAAATCCTATCCCCAGAGCTCTCCTACTGTTTTGCCCCAAGCAGGACTCTGCCTGCACCATTCCCAGTTCCTGCAAACTCTGGGTTCAGCCTCTTGTTGTGAGCAGGAGTCAGTCACCACAGCCCAGCTGGTGGGAACTTGTGGCTCTTACTGCCAGGGCTGCAGTTAAAAACAAGGTGGGATCACATCCAGGGAGCTATCTCTGTGCCTCACCATCTCTAAGCTGGCCATGAACCTCAGTCACCACCCATCCCAGAGGGGGAACATCCTTAAGACCCATCAGAGTGAGTTATAACGTGCATTACACATTTAGACTAACAGGAACAGAAATCAGAGTATGTGGCTGATGAACAGGACAATCTTTGAGAAATCTAGTTTCTTCAGCCTCCAAGTCCCTGCCAGCCATCTGTGATACACACACAGGCAGCTAAGCAGCACAGTAACCTTAATTATAGTTAGACTAGTGCTTCACAAGCTTCTTTTTATAAGCCTTCCTTTAAAATACAACAAATGGACCCTACTGTTAAATAGCTTCTCACTTCCCTTACAACAGATGGACCTTAGAGAAATTCTTATACATTTTTCCATATCAGCTAATAAAATTTTGAAGAAGTAATTTTCTTCTCTCATGGTACTAAAACCAGTTCCTTCCAGGTCAGTATTATCTCTAAGGCATACTTGAAGGGAAAGGCTGAATAATGAAGTCAGCACCATTACCATTTCATCCATGGATTACTTTTACCCAGAGGCTGCATCTCTGGGATATAATGATTTTTCATGCTAGCTCCAGCACATGAGATGGCATGTTGGACTGACATGAAACAGAGAAAGTATATTTTCCCACTCAAGTGTTTCAATATGGCAGTTAGGTTTGCCAAATCCAGTGTTTCCCTGTTGAATGAATCATGAGGTTGAACAATAGTGTGCTTCTTTGAGTATTCTGCACAGTAATTTTTGTGGTAATAGTGACCAAATTGGCAGCTTCATACTTTCTAAGCCCTCAGAAGAACAAGACACCTTGTAAAAAAAGAAAAACAAAACAAACAAAACCCCCAACAAAACAACAAAGAATGCAAACCCTCAATTAAGCCTCTGACAGCCATTTGAAGATTAGAAGCATCTCATTGACAAAAAATTTAACAGTGAATAAAGTTCTCTCCCCATTGTGTCATGAATTCCCAGACATAAAGACAGAGGACATAAACCACTGTCTTCAAATTCAGAAGTCCTAGTCATCCTGGAATTCTGCCCACAACTATAGGATTTTTAAAATTGCCAAAGATGTCATAGATTTGTTCAGTTAGTATCAGGATTTTCTGTTCTGATTTTGAGTATATTGAGTTAGCAAAGAAAATTCCCTTATGCAAGATATTTCACAGTAACAAAGACCAGCAGAACAGATTAATGAATTTTTAAAAAGGCCAACTGGAAAGATGATGTTATTTCCATTACAAAGTATACTGCTATTGGTGATTCTAAAATCTCATGTACTTAAATACAGGTCAAATATAAATCAACAACCTTTCTGTACTCAGCCTCTCAAATAAGTAAAATGAAGAGTATGTTTCCTCCTAGTACTTTACCCACACTTTATCCCAGTTTAGAGGACAACTAATAAACAACATTTCTCGCATTGGAGCAGCCATTACAACATTAATAAAAAAAACCCAAATGACTTGCCACTACTGATTTTTGCAGATCAATATTGGCATCCAGTGTCCAGTTCAGTAAATCTTTACCAGCTGCATTCTGCAGAGATGGCTTGTCTTTATATAGGACATGAGAAGATGCATTTACTATCTCAAATCAAATACAGGAGTTCGATTCAGTTCAGTTTCTCATAACTGTCTGTTGACTCCATTCTTTGATGACCAAAGCAAGCTCTAAACAAGTTTAAAGAAAACCATTACACTAAGCCATACATTTTTTGCATGTTGTACAATCACAAGAGAAAATTTTCAGACTTTCGAACACCTAAGGGGTTACTTTGCACTTTGGGGCCTTTCTGGTTTTGCATCTTTACCTTTGTCACTCCATCCAACAGTGACTCTTTGAACAACGTGGCTAGCATTACACTTTCAACACTTTTTGCATCCTCTAACCAAAACAAAATTAAGATATATCCCAACAGCATTGTATGGTGTAGTACCCACACTACCTCAATTTTCATTAGTCGTCATGAGACCATAAAACCCAACAGAATGCTCCAGTTGTGTGATATAAGTACTTTAAATTTGGAAACTACAAGTTGGCCAAGCCATCAACTGTTTAGTGAGGCAACACCATGGAAACAGATAGCTCCACATCTAGACATTCCTTGTCAACTCTCCCTAGAAGCTGCCCAGTCAAAACTGGTGCTCTGCAAGGCCAGTTTGAGTTCCTACAGGCTCATCAACTGAGTAATAGCTCACATATGAGCAGCTACCCAAATCCAAAGGTCAGCTCATAACTAATCTTTATAGCTGAAGCTATCCAAATAATTTTGGTAGCTGAGGTTCCACTAGCACTGAGGCTGCTTTCCTGGAAGGTAACTTTAGCTTGCCTGCCATATGAGCATGAAGGATTGCCACACAAGGATAATGCAAGTTAAGGATAATGAAGCTGTGCCTTAGGTAAAGCTGATGATCCCAGATGGCCTAGCCCCTCCAAAAACAGGCACATGACATTATCCCATTCTAGTGCTCTGTAAGCAAGAGACTGAGTGGAGACATCACCTACAACTTCCTCATGAGGGGAAGAGCAGGGGCAGGCACTGATCTCTCTCTCTGTGGTGTCCAGAGACAGCACTCGAGGGAATGGCCTGAAATTGTGTCAGAAGAGGTTTAAGCTGGATGTTAGAAAAAGGTTTTTCACCCAGAGGGTCTGGGCACTGGAACAGGCTCCCCAGGAAAGTGGTCACAGCACCAGTCTGACAGAGTTCATGAAGTATTTGGACAATTCTCTCAGGGACATGGTGTGACTCTTCTGTGGAGGGCCAGGGGCTGGACTCAGTGATCCTTGTGGGTCCTTCCAACTCAGAATATTCTGTGATCATATTGGTTGCTGTTTAGTATTAGGACCCACACTGGTCCTCTGATTTTGCATTCAACCTGTGAGACAGCTCAGCATCTCCTGGACTAAAAGGCCATTGTCTTTGGCTTGTTCTGCAGATTTCAGTCTCTGTCAGACTACCAGTCTCTGACAACACATACACTTCTGTACTGCAACACCTGGGCTTTTCCTCACTGGGGGATTTTTCAGCATCACACAATCTTTGGCAACCAGAGTAAATGATAATTTTGGAAAAACCCTTGACCAGATGAAAGCAGTACCAAATTAAGGAGTAAACTCAAGACAGGCCACACTTTATGAAAATATGTGAGGAGCCAAACACAAGGAAAAATTCTTGACAAACTCTACGCTGGGGCATGCCCAGTGAATATAAACTTCTGGATTCAACCAAGGTGACAGGAATGCCCACAAAACATGGGAATGGCAAGCTACATCTCCATCACAGGGACAGTCTCCCTTGGCAGCTCCATAGATATTTTTTTAAACAAAAGCCTAAAAAACATGAATAACATTAATTTTATGTTTATTCATTTGCATAATTAATAAACAAAAACATTACTTAATAAACAAATTAATAAAAATATACTATCAGTGCAGGATTCATGATGAGAAGTTTATGTAAACATCACAAGGCTTCTGCCCTGCATTTTGAACTGTAACAGCCACACCTGCTCCCCATCCACATAGACTCAGTGAACTGATAGAAACCGCTTAATTTCAAAACCATGAATCTGCATACAATACTGAAGACAATAAAAACTTTCAAATCGGTGTATTTCCAACCTCTTTTGCTTGGGGTGAAGTGGATGTGTGATAGTCCAACTCCCTGCTCCTCCCATAACTGCTTAAAACTAAACCTTATGCATAACAGCATTGTTCATCTTCTTTGACAACATCAATGCAAGTCAAGAAGACTTCACAGCAGAAGTTAGGCCTTCCCAAAAACAAGAAAGAGATCACCCAACAAAGCTGAGCAGTTTTTCAAAGAGTACATGTATGTTTCAGGAGTAAAACAGTACAGTAACTGAAGTATTCCTGACTTATCTGAAAGCAAAATACCTCATGCTTTCCCTAGGAAGGCAAATAAAAACATTAGAAATGCATTCTATACCTAATGATTAGACTAATGACTCTTAAGAGTCATGCCAGCTCCTCTTGTCCTTGAATAGCAAGAACAATATCCTAGCACAGCTCTGTGTTACTCTGTATTATCTGTCTGGCCCACAATCTCTGCCATTATTTAAGCCAAGGAAACAACACCGAAAGAACAATAAACAGAGGCAGGAGATTGGATTCACTGCTGTTACCTGCATGAAAGGAACAGAGGCATGGGCTCCGTGAGTTTTTCTATGGCAGTGACAAGGACATGCCAGACCCCACTACAAATGCGCAGCCAGTTGGCTCTATTCAGGATAAGTACATCTCCAACGTTTTTGCCCCAGTCCTGAAGAGAATAAGCACCTCATTACATATCTAATCCTTACAGAGAGCCTTCCCAGCATGTGCTTTGGAAGCAGCAGTTTTGTAGCTTTTCTTCTCTGTAAATTTTGCTTTTGGCACAAGGCACCTAGATCCCATGCTGTAACATGATATACGCCTTAGCTAAATGATCTTATTATTTGTCAACGAACATGCACAGCACCTGCTGACCTAAATCTACCAGCAAGCTGACATCAGATTTTCAACTCATTATTATGTCATGGTATGTAGATTTAATCTCCTCTGTGCCACATTTGTAGCTTATCTTATCTCACAGGAGTTAAAAATTGAAGAGATGGATTGGATCACTTAAAGCAATGATTCTATCATTCACATATTCAAGGACAGGTTGTCTTGGTTGTTCCTTAAAACAAACAAACAAAGAAACAAAACAAACAGAATATTTTAAGCTGATCAGTAAAGTGTCTATAAATTTGTTATTTGTTCTAACTCAATGTATCTTCACAAGTGCCAGCACAATGGCCAGCTGGTGTAGATCAGACACTTCCCTTCTGTGGAAAGATTTCAGTAAGCTACAGTGACATAGCCTGCAATAAAATCTTGCCTGTGTTTTTCCTTGAAGTGTTGGATCCTCCACATTTTTGTAGTATCTTGCAGAACCATATCTATCTGCAAGCCTTTTCAGTTCTCAAACTTCAATGGAAATATGATATGGCAACCTCTTGTAAAGTCAACTAGAGTAAAATGCACTTAGATATTAACAATGATTTCTTCTGTCCTCACAACCTTTCTATAGCATGGTTCAAACATAATTTGCAAAATAACTGCTTGAAAACTTAACCCTACAACACATACAGAGTTAAATCTCTGTATATATTCTGAATCCGAAGGCAGAGAGAATTACAACTAGTATATGTTACTGAAACTTAATGGAATATCAAATTGCATCAGACACTCTTCTAAGCCAAACCAAGCTAAGACACACTCACATACTGGGAATGTGCAGTTCCTACTGTAGTTGAAAAGCTCCACATGCTCTTTTTCCAGACAGGAGAGTGCATGACATTTTCCCAAAGCAAATTCTCCAAAAACCATCTAGAACCCCTTTGGCAGCCATACCATGCAGAGGAACACAGAGAAGTGTCCTACTCATTCTTTGGCTCCTTTGCACTTGTGGTTGCAAAGAACCAAAACAGCTTTTAAGTGCTTGGTCAATTATTTAAACACTCAGTGCAGCTACTGAGTGGCTTATAAACAAACAATAATTTAAAAAACAAAAATAAAACAAACAAACAAACAAACAAAACAACCACTAAACCAAGAGCTTCATCAGCATGAAATGTTTTCATCATCTTTGTTCACAACCATTCACACACGGTGCTTTAACTACCCATGACACCAGTGGCCTAGGCCACTAGGCTTTTCTGTTCTGCTATTTCCACCCAGAAAGCCCTTCAGGATTCTCCTGTTGTTCTTCTGCCAGGCACTTCTTCCTGACTGAAATGCAACTCAATAATAGTTGCTCCATTTTTTGTTGCCCTTCAGCAGTGTAACAGTGGCAGAAACTGATTTATATTTCTGCAGACAAGGAGAACCCTAAAACCTTTGCATTGATGCAATCATTATTTATAGACACTCAAAGAAAGATGGTGACCAGAGGATATTCTCAGTATAAAAAGACAAATTATGCATTCACCTTAAAGAAGGGTATCAAAAGACTCTTAAGAGCCATGGGCCAGTCAATCAAACTCCAGTCCATGATGGGACTACTGAACAAAGTCCAATGGGCAGCCGCATAGCAGGGCTCACCCTCAAGGAATGATGACACGCTCAGTAGCGCTTGATGTCCTTACTAATGACCAGGATGGAGGCAGAGCTCACTCTCAGCAAATAAGATTAGAATCACTCAGTATGCTGGAGCAAGTTGCTATTTAGGAGTCTGTAAAAGCTTGAAAAATAGGCTGACAAGGAAGCTGGAGAAGTTCAACAGATGCATGTATCAAATCCTGCACATGGGATGAAATAACCCTACACAACAGTACAGGCCAAAGGCTGATGAGCTAGACAGTATCTAGAGAAAGTCTGGGGGTGTTGATAGACAGAAAGTTAAAAACAATCATCAGTGTGCCCTTTCTTGCTGCAAAGAAAATCACCTACATACCACAATGCATGCTAGCAGGGTAATGGAATTTTTTGTTTCCTTCTATTTTCTGTTTACAAGAGCACATCTAGAATACTGTGTCCAGTTCTGTAGTAGGAAAACATACAAACAAACCCCCTCCCAGACCAAAGAAAACCCAAACCAACCAACCAAACAGAAAAACACTCCCCCGCAAAAATACAAACTTTAATACCCAGTTACAAATAATGTATCCTGATGCTCGGTTCATTTCTGCTTTTCAGATTTCATTTTCTTATTTTGTCATATTTAAAGAGATTTATCAAAGGGAAAGGAAGTGCTTTCTACTCTCTAAAGTATGCAAAATAAATGAGAAAAGAAAAATCTTAATTTTCCTTGGAGTCTCATACCTGCCATAGTAGTTGAGAACCTCTCAAAAAATTGTGATGAATGAGGAGCTTCCATTCCCCAGATACATCAGCAGAGAGCTGTCACAAGTGTAGATAATATAAAATATTTATTTAAAATCTGATACATTTACGAAGTGATCAACAAATCCTGCCATTCCATCCGGATAACTGTCTGTATATATTACCCCCTGGTTTCCAGCTACGCTTCTACAGTTGCATTTTACAATGGGAAAGTCTTTCATTAAACAGGAACATTCAAATAAGAGGGTTTGAAATTTTACTTTTCTAAAAGGGTTGGTAGCTTTAAGGCTTGTTTCTTTAAGTATCCACTTTAAATTAGCCTAATGTTTTACTTTTATTCAAATGAATTTTTCAACAATCATTAAGAGCCCATCTCAGTTTCCTTTTGCAGAAAAAAAGCCATTTGTTAAACTATTTATGGTGTAAATGAATGGCAATAACTTCTTTGAAAATAAAAATACAAAGGACTGAAAACAAACTTTTAACAAAACAGGAACATTTCAATTTTACCCCCTCACTTTCCACAGTAATTTTAGACCACCTGCACTGGACAACAATCAGTAAACAATTTTTAATTAGTTTCTCATAATGCTGCATATTTCTCTATGCTAGAACATTGTCCGATATTCACAATAAGGATGTACAGAGAATACAAAGCTTTCTATAACTTTCTCCCCAGTCTCCCAGTAACAGATTGTGTGAAATAAACACTAGAGCTGGGGTTTCTTGTTCAGCCTCTTTGCTCCAATCATTTGAGCTGGTCAAGTTATACAGATGTTAAATCTCTGGGAATAATTTAATCAGCTCTACACTGATATATCAAACGTCTTTACCAAGGAAGAGGAAGTCCAGAGAGGAAAATAAATGCTCCTGTGCTACCTTCCACCTTCTCCTTTCCCATCAATGAGCTCTATCCCAACAGATGAATGGATTGAACCAAGTGCAGTAAATATTCTCTCCAGATGTTGCAAATAGCAATTTTGGCTTCATGTGCTTTTCCACAAAACATAAATTAACATTTTTATTTCATGCAAGTCAGTCGGTGGAATATGATCTCAGTCGTAAAAGGCTTGTACTGATAGACCAACCAATTTCTGTCATTGCACCATCATAAAACACTGCAAGCAAATTGCTACCAAAACAAACACACCTTTGAGCTACTGAGAAGTCAGAACCTCTTCATATATCCTCCAAAATAACACCATAGATAAAAAATGAATTTTATTGCTGTGAGAAACTTACCTATTTCAAAATTGACTTAGTAGAATAAGAGATTAGCTAAACTTCAAACCAAACCTGAAATACATAGCAACATCATATTCCCAAATGCTTATTTAAGGTGTACTACTTAAGCGATATCCTACTGTGCAGGACCCTTCTTTCCCTTCTCAACTTCAGCAAAGATTTTGTAATAGCCAATATTCACTAATCCTAGACATAGCCAAAAACATGTACTCTGACTGTGACCTCATTGCTGGAAGGAAGCTGTGATAGTGGACAGGATACTCCTGCCCTGTTCTTGTCTTTCCACAGGCTTTCCCTAAAGAGTCCTGACAGTTCTCTGGCTCCAGTAGTTGAGGTCACAGTAACAAACACAATGTCTACTCTTACAGCTTGCAGTTCAAGTTTTATAATCTACAATCCTGGCACATTCCAATTCCACTACAAATAGTCTGAAGTAGTCTCTTCCATCAAGACTTCTCACACCAGCACATCAAAAATCAGTTTTCATTATATTCCAAAAACTTTGCACCACTGATACAGCTGCCTAAACTTTATAACTGCAGAACATGGCAAGCAAAAATAAATGGTTTGCCTCAAACAAGCTGCTACCTTTACCAAAGATCAATGTAACTATGGTTGGTTGTGTCATCTGTGTTGCAATTCATCCCAAGACTGAGAGACCTAAACAAGAAAAGAAAGCAAGGATCATTAGTCCTCATGTAAAGGCAGGTTCACTCTCTGCTTGCTGTCATTACAGGAGGAATCTGAAAGTCTTGCACAAAAAAAAGGAGCAGCTCAACATTCCATCTGTACCATTTCACAAGTTGCATCAGTCCTAGCAAACCACATTTTGTTCTGCCTTTCACATTATTAGACAAATGAGGAACTCACATGCAATACCTGTATTACTGAACTGAACAGCTTTAAAAATGCCACCAGGATGCACAGCAGCAAAAGAAATCAGACTACTTGCTTTCAGTGAAGAGTGCCACCACGTCCCACAAGAGAATTTCAATTTTACCTTTTTGGAGTATGGTCTCCTTTTAAGAACATAAGAAATATCATGTTAGAAGTCTAGCTATGTAAAGCCATATAAGCTATGAAGCACCATAGCACAGTTTCCCCATAAATAAATGACCTCAGCTGGTGACTGGGCCTGCAATTATTTTTTTGCCTTCTAACAGTTAAAAAGACTTATCCAGTGTCAGGCTCCCTCTGTGTAGCTTCAGAGATAATTAGTGGAGCTCTTACTTCTATTAAACAACTTCTTAAGCCTGTCTTTTGTTTTTCAGATTTTTATTTTAATTTACCACACCCATCTACTTGACATAGTGAAAAGCAGCTTCACAAAGATTGGCAGGGTCTTCCTTCTTTCAGACCACCAGAGTTAGTGGCAGAGGCATGACTTTCCAAACTCACAATAAGATCCCCTACTCAGGAAGGAAAAAAACCAAAAGCTTTCCAACATAAGGCTTGCAATATTTTCCATATACTGGCTTCAGAGAGAGCTTGAAAATAGTTTATCACATTCAGTAGGAGCATAGTTTTTGTCCAAAAGAGCTCTGCCAGTTAGGTGCTGCCACACAGTGCTCCACATACACAGCGTTACCTGCACCAGTACGTTGTGTCACCTCAGGGAAAGCACATACTCATGGAACCAATGCAAGAGTAGTTTCCAGGGGTTTTGTATCAGTATTTTATTTTAAAATATTACTTGCAACTTTGTAAAGCTGATAAATCAGCCGCTTGATGCTACTACTCAGTGACTAATTTAGCACACTGTCACTAAAGCAGCTCAGAGCTAGAAACTCAAAATTTCTGGTCACAGTGGTAGCTAAATAATACCTTTTCATGATGTGCTGGTAGCCTCATCTAGCTCCGTTGGTTAGTGCATAGTGCTAATAACACCAGGGTTGTGGATTTAATCCCTGTACAGGCCATTCACTGAAGGGTTGGATATGGTGATCCTTGTGGTCCCTTCTAATTTAGAGTATCATGTGATTCCATGAGTTCATTCTGCTCTAGGCAGACGATTGGACCACATGATGTACAGAGATCTTTTTTAAGGCGACTAATTCTGTAATTCTACGTTGGAAAGATAAGCAAGATGCTATTGGTTATTTGGTTAAGTGTTAATTTTTTAATAAATTTTGTAGCAAAAAAATATCATGGGTACTAACTTGTGGGTGAAAAAGTGACCGTCTTCTTCTAAACTCTTCTGGCATAGTGTCTGCTGCAGACTGAAGCTGTCAAGAGCACAGTTTAAGTCTATACACAGCAGCAAGTGCAAGAGATACTCAAGAGATTTAAAATATGCTTACTTCCACCACAGTTTATCAGAAAGCTGCAGTGATACTGAGTTGAGCGTGGACCACATCAACTCTTGTTGGATGGCAGTTTAGAGCAATGAACACGAGCAAATAGATACCACTGTCCACATGTGAAATCTAGTGAGCTCTTGCAGAGAGCAAATTTCTGTTTAAAGACAGTCAGATTTTGATTTTGCAGTTTAACTTTTCACAACATTGCATGTCCCATCAGTTCTTCCACACAAACACAGATTTTTCTACACACAATTGCTTGTCAGCTCTCCTGCCTATGGAGTTGAATGGTCCTGCTGGATGCATGTTTATAGGTAAACCACTAAACTGAAAAATAATTATAGCAAGTTATAAGAAGACACAATGTCACTGTGCCTCCCAAGTCTTGATAGCAGTAGTGGCTTTGCCAGGATTCAAACCTAGGTTGCCAGCGTGGCAGGTGAGAAGTCTACTGCTGAGCCACCAGGGCTGTCGCTATGCAGCCAAGTCTTGGCTAGCCCAGAACCTGTAGCACTGTGGCAGCAAAGGCCACTCTCTTGTGCCACTGTGGGCACGAGGTGTGGCCTGTGGGAAGTCAAAGCCACCAGACTGAAAGACACGCAGAGGGACTTTGACAAAAGCAAGGAGCTGTCCTTCGGGAGGTATCAGAATTCCGAGTTTATTGGCTCGAAGAAGATAAGCTCCAAAAGGCAACGGGCGCCGTGTGCCCTGCTTTCTTAAAGGGGGGTGGTAACAAGGGGAGGAAACAGCAGCCAAACAATGGGATAACACTTGGGGGTGGTAACAGGGGTGACATACAGGGGAAACTTCCAATGAGGTAGGAGGGAGGGAGGGGACCCCGGAGACCAGCTTATCACTCGAAGCCCTGGATGGAACTTTCTAGGTGAAAGGGAGAGGTCTCTGAGAGACAAGCAGACTCTGGGGTGTGCCTGGGGGGGGATAACTCAGCAGGAATACAATGAACTGGGTGGAGGGAGGAATGACAGGCAGACAGAGGAGGGAGGAGAAGGAAGGCTGGACCCTTTTACAAAAAGAGGGGTGTTGCCTTTATGAAAGACAACCAGGGGCCTGGTTCAGATGGCAGCACGGCGGCCTGGTCTCGTCCAAGCCACTCGGGCTAATCAACACACGCAGACACCAATATGGCAGACGGTTGAAAAGCGTTTATTATCCTATTTCGTGGGTTTAAATAGGTTTAGGGGTCTTTGCTACGTCAGAGGGGGGTTGGGGGTCTCGGAGGATAGTGGGTAGTGGAATTTTACCAGAACAGGTGTGGCTACATTCTTTTCTGACTCCTGGGGTTGACAGATAAGCGGGGAAGAGAGAGGGGGGAAGGGGTCTGTCTTTCCGTGACATCCCGGTGATCTTCCGCTCCGCCTGTCCCTATCTACCACAAGGGGGACAAGGAGTAACCATAACCGGGGGGAAACTTAAAACACACTCCAACAACACAAAGCTTATAGTTCCAAGTGGTTTCAGTGTTTTACTATGCAAGCCATAATGCCTTTTCCCCCCCCTATTTCCTAAACAGAGAAGACAAAAAACATTTCTGCTATGAGTATTTCTTTCTATGAGTATTTCTTACTGCTTATTTGAGCAAAATAATATTCTAGCAATGAAAATCTGTCAAGATCTCAGAACCCTGCTTTTTACAGATCAAATTATGATAGGAAAAATAGGCAGTTTTTTGTTCACTTGTTCTTGATACCAGCAGGAGGATTTTCTGTTCTGCTGCTCAGTAGTCCTGAAGCATCTTCCATAGCTGACTCAGAGGCCAAGAGCTATCTCTTGAAAGCCTTCACTGAGGAAGGCTGAACTTCAAGGCATCCTCTTAGCAGAGGCTCTTCTTGTAGCAGTTCAAAACCCCTGGAGGTAGGATCCATTTGAAGATAATTAAGAGCAGGAACCTTTCCATTATTCTATCAAGATTTCTTCTCTAGGAAATGTTTTAAATCCTAATTTAACCCCAGAGGGTGACCTATATCCTACTGTCCTCCCATGGCTTACACTCAAGTCACAGCACAAACACCAATCCATTTGCAGCAATGTTAACTTTTATTCCAACTTAGAGGAAGATACATATACTTAATGACAATAATACTAAAATGGGCCAAAATGGACCCACACAAAACTATTCCCCACCAGAGTTTCCACACTTGGAAATACAGTGCAATATATAGGGTATTACCTTCCACCTGGAAAATTCAGGTTTCAAGTGCAGGCTCCCACACTGTCTTACATTATCAGTTTTACCGCTATTGCACCTGAGCCAGCATAACCATGCTAAGATATGAGGTCAAACACAGCACTGACAGCTTCAGCCCCTCTAATCCTCCTAGTTCTTGGTTCTCCACTGGTGCAAGTCCAGTGGGGAGTGCAAGTATGGAGAGAGTGTTGCCAAAGTTGCAAGTAATCACTGTCCTCAAGCTTTAATGAATCATAACGGACTGAGATCAGCAATGTTTTTCAAGCCATGTCTTTGCAGCTGGCCAGCTGTTCCACAGCTCATCTTTCACTTTTCAGGATAGATAGAACGTCTTACTGATGGAATTGTCATAGCAGTATGGCAGGTCCTCTTGGTGTTACAGAGTTGGAAAATTAGGAATGTTTGTTTAATTCACCCTCCATTTGGCTGCTAAACTAGAGAGTCCTGTAATTCAACTGTATGGTGGTGACAAGAACAAGTCATTGACCCTCAGGCTGTCTTGCCAAGCACTCAAACAAACACCTTTGATACAGCAAAAACTACTTCTGAGATTCAAGTTAGATGCAAGCGTATCCTGGCAACGGAAGTTTAGTTTAGAGCATTTAACAAACTCTAATTTTTTTCCCCTTTAAATGCAAGATTTAAAGAAATACCTAAGATGACAGTTCTATGATTCATCAAATACAGCAACGTTTCCAAAAATAGGAAACATCACCCTCCTAAGAGGAAAGCCTATTATAGAGTTTATTACAAGACTGAAGCAAAGAGAGATTCTCAAATTACATGATATCTTCTTTTGATAAGGCTGACATAATATAGAGGAGTATAATAAATACAAAACGCGTACAAGGAACATTTAGATATTACAAAAGTGGTGTATTACCAGGTGAACTAAAAAAAACAGGAAGGAAGGAGATTCCTGTTTATAAATGAGACAAAGCTATATTTCAGACACATTTAGGCACTGCCTGCTGGGACATCTCAAGTATCCACAGAATGCTGCACTAAATAAATAGCACTAGAACATTTAATTAGCTCTCTTCAAATCATTGTTGTTCTGAAAAAGTAGAGAAAATATAGAAATGACAACACTAGAAAAGACATCAGTTACACAAAGGTTTTCAGCTTTGAGGTTTCCATTTGAAATTTCACTCAGCTTAGTCACTAAGCACTATAGAATGACAGAATAAAATGGTCTGAATCCATTCCTTAGATTTTTGTCTGTCCAAGGCACTTATTCCAGAATTAATACCACTCAGGCATGTGCTCATTAATCAGATGCCCTATGTAAACATCATTTGATTAGATACAGTGTTTGAACCACCCACACTGCACTTTCCTCAGGAGGCTCAGTGTCAAAAAATGCAGAACAAAAGCTTCTTTGGAAGAACAGCAAAGAGCTGAACGAGACATCAGAGTCTTGCCACACCAATATCCAGCTTATGTTACATTAGCAAGCCTACCATGAAGGTAATGCAGGGGGAAAAAATTAAACATTTCTACAGGATATAAAAACACTTGTCTAACACCAAATTCAGCAAAAGCAAGTTCATCAGCCAATTTCAGTTGGCAATAGTTTAAAACCATTCTGTGTGGTCTAACCCCACAAATAGAGAATGAAAAAATTCCAAGGAGACCAGACCTAATTTTTTGGCAAGAAAAATTACCTTTCCCTAAAGGTCCTGATTTAGAGTTCCACTTTTTAAACTAGCTCTACAAGTCAGAAATAAGATCATATATTTAGAAACACATATATACTTGAATAATTAAAAACTATCATATCACTGTGGAAGAGATTTTACGAGTCTTATACGGCTGAGATTATTAGAGCAATAAATTACACGATGCTCCTGAGATCAGAGATAACACTTCAACCTGCTAACCCCTATGTTTATTCTGTAGAGTCATTTTTCAGCAGCAGAACACACTCCATTTGCAATATGTAACATTAAAAAAAAATTATTTTAGAAAAATTGATTGACTGATATGTGAGATGGTGCTTTAGCCTCAACAAGGATCTTAGCTCCTTTTTTGTCTTTAGCTACTGTTTTGCTATCTTAAAAATACCTTTTCAGAATCAAATTAACTATTTCATAGCCATGCCTTTTTTTTGTTTGTTTTTTGGAGTAGGGCTAGTTCTTTTGGCCAGCAGTAGCCTTTAATCATTGGAACATTGGAAAGGAGAAAAAAATTGTTAACGAGGTTCAGAAGCAGGCATCTGTAGCATAAAACAAACTAGGAATTGTGGCCAGGAACCCTTGGCAGCAAAACTGCTGAGACTATTAATTATGTTTTCATTGGCAGAAGCTACAAAGAAGTTAAAATATATGGTGCACTTTGATATCACGGGAAGCACAGGGAATGATGCCAACTTCAACTCAGTCCAGTCTAAAATTATATTTCAGAAGAAAGAAAAGCACATACCCACAGATAATGCAGAGGCTCCACTTAGTTTAAAAATGATCATTAAAAAAATTTACTAGCATTACAAATTTAGGCTAGCCAAACTGGAAGGTTAATCTTGATTTCCATGAGTTTTGTTTTCAACTTTTAATGTTTTTCAAGGCAAAACCACTTCTAGATTTTCAGCCAGAAGTATCAAAACCCAACAGTTTCAAGAAAAATGCGTCTACTTTTCTACTTTCTATAATTTTTGAGAAATACTGGAGGCCAGAGAAGACAATTATTGTCACTTGTACATAATAAATTCCCATTTTTAAAATGTAATTTCTTAAATATTCTCATCCACATTATCTTAACAGGGATGTCCATTGTAGTAGAGAAAGACAGAAAATAGTCTTCAAAAATGCAAATGACAGCAGCCATACCTTTAGCTACCTTCTGCAAGAAGTCCTGTGGTTCCCCCCCTCACGCAGCCCCCCGAATAATCCGACTAGCTCAGAGATAAGGGGCTGTGAGGGGAGGAATATCAGGAGAAGGGTAAAGATATTCAAAAGAGGCTCTCACCCCAGGAGAAGTTGGTACAGCCCTCTTTATTCTGTGTCGTCCATGTGGAGAGCGGGGCAAAAGAGGACGAACAGGAAATGTCAGGGGTCTATATAGGCTTTGGACAGGGTGGGCTTTCCTGGCTCTCCGCCAACTCCATTGGGGCAGGAAGGAGGGGTCCAGGGGTTATCTTGATCAGAGTCACAGGGTCCTGGGGGAGCGGGGGCAGAATGCCCATGAGCTCACTGTAACAAAGTCCTTGTGTGCAGTGTTACACAAACTGGCTACTGGATAAATACTAGTAAAATCAAGCGGCAAAGGTGTGTGTGAGTAGGAAGAAAGGAAGGGAAATGGAAAAGAAGGTGATATCTCCAACAGGGACAAGGAAACCATCCTGTCAGCTGCAAAAACTCAATGCTAGATCCTTGTATAAGTTTTTCTTTTTACTAGAGATAGTTTGTTTTAAATCACTAGTCTTGCTAAAAAAATACCTTCACGCCCCAGTCTTTTCCTTTTAGACCATTTTTACCATTTACTGATTAGAGGTCTTTAAAAACAAATTATATCCTAATCCCAACCCCTAAGACTGCCATCATTTTCTTCATAAAAAATGCAACAAGAAAGCACTGGCTTCAGTAGTTTGTCTGCAATTATGTTTGAAGCCAACAAATATAGAATCTATCTTTGTTACAGTGAGCTCATGGGCATTCTGTTTCCCCTTCCCTGGGACCCTGTGACTCTGATCAAGATAACCCCTGGACCCCTCCTTCCTGCCCCACCAGGGTTGGCGGAGAGCCAGGAAAGCCCACCCTGTCCAAAACCTATCAGACACCTGACATTTCCCGTTCGTCCTCTTTTGCCCCACTCTCCACATGGACAACACAGAATAAAGAGAGCTGTATCAACATACCCTGGGGTAAGAGCCTCTTTTGAATGTCTTTACCCCTTTCCTGATATTCCTCCCCTCACAGCCCCTTATCTCTGAGCTAGTCGATTATTCGGGGGGCTGCGTGAGGGGGGGAACGACAGTTGGCACCCAACGTGTGCTGCCTCTGAACCCACGCCGAAGCTGGACTCCCTATCTCAGTGGATTTCAATAGCATTTGGGACGGTCAACTGCCCAGTACTCTAGCTGCCTTTAAAGGCTTTGAGTGACAGGGAGAAGTCGGGGACCTTGCCTGAGTACCCCAGGCGAGCCAGCTGGAGAGGGACCCCAGACGAGTTCACAGACGAACCCCGCAGTTCACAGGCTTGGTAAGTTCTCCGATTGCGTCACCCAGGACCGCGCCTGGCTGGGAGGAGTTACCATAAGTGACTGCAGGGGCTGCTTGCGAGAGGGGGTGCCAGGGACACTCTGCGAGACAGCGTGGAACCGGTGGGCTGGGAGTACCCACGTTCCCCGGGGGAGAAGTTACGGGAGGGAGCTCCGGCAAGCGGCGGGACAACTGCCCCTCCCCCCGCCTCCCTCGCTCGGATTTCCACGGAGGGAAATTCAATTAATTCGTGCTGTGTTATAAGTCTGGTGGAGAATAGACCAGCGATACAATTAAAATAATGGGTACAAAACTGTCGCTGGAACAAAAGAGCACACTAACACACCTTAGCAATATTTTAAACAATATATCATTCTCAAACAAGCTTCTCCTGCGTTTTGTATGCTGGCTAACAGCAGAAATACCAAATTTTACTGTGAAAGAACTGAATTAGCTTTCTTTTTGGGACCAAATTGGACAGATATTAACTTTAAAAGTTGAAAATGGTGAACATAAAGCTTCTCGATTTATTCCGATATTTTTACAAGCCCGAAAAAAGATTTTGGAAGCAGAAAAAAGCATATGAACACAAAACCACAGTCCAAATATTCCCTTTTCCCCAACCTGCCCACCTCCTCAATATCCCAGCCCTGAAACCCCTTCACCCACCCCTTATCCCCTTCTAACACCTTGTTTTTCCAAAAACATAGTCCGGAGTTCTCTTCAGGGAGCAGTACAGCGTCTCTGAAACACACGCGGCAGGATAATGCTGGCCACTATGTGCTCCGACCCGCTCCCCCTCCCCCTCACATTCCTTTCCTTCCCCCACCCTCCAACCCCTCTTCCAGCCCCTCCTCCAATGCCTCCCTATCTCCCACCGCTCCTCCACACCCTCCTTATCAGTGCCAGCCCCCATGTTGCCCGGGGAACAGGGGTGGGGCCGGCCCCTGCACAGCTCAAAGCCCCGGTGCTGAGGACGGCGTGGTGGGGACAGGGCACGGCAGCCCAGCGACTCAGAGCATGGGTGGGGCCCGAATTTGCACCGAGGCACAGACAGCCCGGGGAGGGGAATGCGAGCTGCCTCTCACCGGGACGTGAGGGGTGGTGGGGAGACACAACCCTGCCTCTACCAGCATTAGAGAGGACCCCATACCGTGTGTGGCACCAGTTGTTTATTTAGGAAGGAGAAACGGTAACAAAACATATCAACCACTACGATATAGAGACAAAACAGAGATCTGTAAAATACAAAGAAAATTTGGGAGGTCCAGTAAGATTTTTTAAAGGGATGATAAGGGCAACATTTAATTAAAATGAAATGGTACCTAAAGATATCACTGACTTGTTTAAATGTTTACTAACACCTTCTGAATATGAGATATGGGAAAATAAGTGGAAATTAGCTTTGAAAACAATTTTACAAGAAATACAACATACACTCAGTGAAGCCCTTGACAGTGATGGCAATGCTATTACGATACATCATTTATGTGGTACAGGAGACATACAATTCCCAGAAAAACAAACCAGACTGTTATTTAGATCGGTTTTGGAAAAAATCTGTAATGCTGCAGAAAAGACTTTGTATCAATTACCAGGAACTGAGGTTAAATGCAGCTATATTAACATTAAACAGTTTCCTTCTGAGAGTTTTTTACAGTTTGTGGATCGTTTGAGAAGCCAAGTTGAAAAACAGGTGCAAAACACCAGGGTACAAACAGAGTTGATTAAAGAAATGGCTCAGAGGAATGCAAATGAGACCTGTCGTAGGATTATTCTTAGTCTTCATCTCGACCCAGCACCTAGCCTTGCTCAGATGATTGAAGCCTGTGCCAGGAGAGCAGAGCTGCTCGATACCCCTGACAGTCATGCAACATCTGCAGAAATACAGCCTGCTGCCACTGCTGCACCAAGCCCAAGGAAGCAACCTAGGTCATCACAACACCTGCAGAACATCATCTGCCTGCGTTGGAAGAAACCAGGACACTTTGCCTAAAACTGCCCTCAAAACCAGAACCAGAGACAGATCACCAAACAAAAAAACTGAGTGCACAGCAGCCAAAAAGAACTACGCGCAAAAATAGCGGGACCCAAACGGGACAATGCATCCCTCTTAACAAATAAGGGGGAGGGTGGGAACCATGGGGGGGGGGGGGGAGAAAAATAAAAATGTAAAATGTATAACTAACAAGGTTTGGCAGCCATTAGGCCGACCTCGCCAAAGGATTTCATTTCAGATACACTGATTGGAAAGTTATTGTAGTGGACCTGTCAAAGAGCTCACAAGACCTGCAGGCGTACGATATGGAACTGGACAGTATTTTGTTATTGGGGACACAGCATACACACTTCCAGAGACTGAAATAGTTCCCATGACTACTAAGGGAAAAATATCCAGTCCAATGCTGTTGGCACACTGTTTACACCCTCCATTCTATCTAGAAAAGGGGCAAATTCTGGCACAAGCCATTCCCATCCCAGTAGAAATAACAGTAGAAGGAAAATCACCTAAAGGCTACTGGGCAGAGGTAGTAGGAGAGGATAGACCCTTGATGGCATGCAACCTAGCACATGGATCAGAGCACCTTCAGGTGGAAGGGGTTCTGGACACAGGTGCAGACATCACAGTGATACCAAAAACCATGTGGCCATCACACTAGGAATTGCAACCTGTGGCAGGCAAACTTCAGGGTATACGGGAAATTACATTGGCAAAAATTTCAAAAAATGTAGTGCAAATTGAGGGACCTGATGGGAAATTGGCAAGTGTTCGCCCATTTGTGGCAGACTATAAGGCTCCTCTGTGGGGGAGAGACACCATGTCCCAATGGGGAGTCCAGTTAATAATTCCTAAGACACCCCAGGATTTTCGGAAGTAGCCACTGTGGAGCGCCCTGCCCACAAGTTAAAGTGGTTGGATAACACACCAAAGAGGGTAGCACAGTGGCCTTTGAGTAGAGAAAAACTCGAGGCGCTTGAAACACTTGTGGAGGAGCAGGTAGCTCAAGGACACCTAAAAGAAACAGACAGCCCTTGGAATTTCCCAGTCTTTGTAATAAAGAAGCCTGGGAAGGACAAGTGGAGATTGCTCCACGATCTCAGAGAGATAAACAAAATTGTAGGGGAAATGGGACCTCTCCAACAAGGTATGCCTAGTCCAGCTATGCTTCCCCAGGACTGGAAATTAGCTGTGTTAGATATAAAGGACTGTTTCTTCCAAATTCCATTGCACCCTGAAGATGCCCTGAGGTTTGCATTCTCAGTTTCTACCATCAATCCGGAAGCCCCGATGAAACGTTATCACTGGAATGTTCTGTTCCAAGGTTTAAAATCCAGTCCTTTCATATGCCAACAATATGTAGCAGCACTACTGTCTCCAGTACGCGCAGAGAGAAAGGATGCCATCATCCTTCACTACATGGATGATGTGCTTGTGTGTGCTCCCAATGACTCTATACTCCAATACACGCTTGACCTAGTGGTTAAAGTTTTAACCTCTGTTGGATTTCAATTGCAGGAAAACAAAGTTCAAAGAATGCCACTTGGGGATACCTGGGCCTAGAAATTTCTGCAAGGACTATTTTCCAACAGAAATTAGAAATCAATTGCAATCCCAGAACATTAGCAGACCTCCACTCGCTGTGTGGGACTTTAAATTGGGTGAGGCCCTGGCTAGGCCTCACAAATGAGGACCTAGAACCTCTCTTCAATTTATTGAAGGGGGAGAGGGAGCTGGCCTCCCCCAGGGAACTGACTCCGGAGGCAAAGACAGCAATTGAAAAGGTACAGAAGGCCTTGTCAGAGAAGCAGGCAAATCGGTGTGAACCAAATGTGCCTTTCCAGTTCATTGTTCTAGGAAAGCTGCCACACCTGCACGGGTTGATTTTCCAATGGACCGAGGGGCAGAAGACCCACTCTTAATCTTAGAATGGGTTTTCCTATTGCTCCAAAGATCCAAAACCATCACTAGGCCACAAGAGCTGATAGCAAAGCTGATTCAGAAGGCCAGGGTGAGGTTGTGTGAATTAGCAGGGTGTGACTTTGCATGTATCCACCTTCCAGTCAGGCTTTCTGAGGAGGGAAGGAACTCTCCTGAGAGATTGACCAAAGGGACGTTTGAGCATTTGCTCCAGAGCAGTGCCAGTCTCCAGCTATCTCTGGACAGCTACAGGGGACAAATATCAGTCCATGCCCCGTCTCACAAGTTGTTCAATGAGGAATTCCACCTGATTCCTCAAGAGAAAAGGAGCCGGAGGGCACTCAAGGCTCTGACAGTGTTCACTGATGCCTCTGGGGCTTCCCACAAGTCGGTGATGACTTGGAGGAATCCACAGACTCAGCTTTGGGAAGCTGATGTTGAGCTTGTGGAGGGATCCCCCCAGGTGGCTGAACTGGCTGCAGTGGTGAGAGCTTTTGAGAAGTTTTCTGAGCCATTCAACTTGGTGACAGACTCTGCCTATGTGGCAGGTGTAGTGTTTAGAGCCGAGCAGGCTGTGCTCAAAGAAATAGAAAATGAACATCTCTTCAGGTTACTCTCAAGGCTAATTTATTTAATCTCTCACCGAGAGCATCCATTCTTTGTGATGCATATGAGGTCACACACTGATTTACCAGGTGAGATTGCAGAGGGGAACCAAAAAGCAGACTCCCTTGCTGCACCAGTCGAAAAAGCACGTCCCCCTGATGTTTTCCAACAGGCAAAGCTGAGCCACCAGCACTACCATCAGAATGTGCCAGGTTTGATCCGACAGTTCCAGCTAACACGGAGTCAGGCCCGAGCCATTGTGACCAACTGTCCTAATTGCCAGCTCCAGGCCGTGCCATCGTTGGGCATGGGGGTAAACCCCAGAGGCCTTAGCAGCTGTGAGGTATGGCAGACAGACATCACACACATTCAGAGTTTTGGTCGCCTTGAATGCGTTCATGTAAGCATGGACACATTCTCAGGTGCAGTGTATGCCTCTGCCCATATAGGACAAAAGGCTGCACATGTCAAACAACACCTAGTGCAAGCATTTTCAGTATTGGGGGTGCCAAAAACGATCAAAACAGATAATGGCCCAGCGTATGTATCCAAGGAGTTCCTGGAATTTCTCCAACAGTGGGGAGTGAAACATAAGACTGGCATTGCCCACTCCCCCACAGGTCAAGCTGTAGTCGAGCGTGGACACCAGACGCTGAAGCAGGTATTGAAAAAACAAAACAGCTCAGCTCCGTGGATGTCTCCACAAGAAAAGCTCTGTAAAGCTATGTTTACTATCAATTTTCTGAATTGTTCATTTGAAAATATGAGTCCACCAGTTGTGCATCACTTTAACAGTGGCAAGTTCAAATTGTCTCAGCATCCCCCAGTCTTGATTAGGGATCAGAGACTTGGGAAACCAAGGGTCCCTATGAACTTGTAACCTGGGGTTGTGGCTATGTGTGTGTAGCTACTCCCTCAGGCCCTCGGTGGATTCCCCAGAAGTGGGTGAAACCTTTTGTCCCCAAAAATCCAGGTCAGACAAAAGGGGACAGGAAGCAAGTAACTGATGCTTCAAAGAGAAGACGCCGCTGGATGGAAGAAGAAGAAAGTTCCTAAGCATGAATACCTCCTGGCAGAAACAGAAACTTTAATATGTTCTTAAAATGTTTGTTTTTCCCTTTTAGAGAAAACCTACCTCCCACTCAACCCTGTGATGGACCCCATGCAATTGTCACCCTGCGAATGCTGAAAAGAATGTTCAAGGGCTGGGGATTCACGGGGTGGTGGACATCAGTTATTAAATCAATTTTGTTACTCCTTGTTATTCTGTTCCTTGTAACCT